ATCTTGTGAGCAGCAGCATTGTTTGATTGTGTGTTATTTCTTTGGCACAGGTTATTTCAAAAAATTTTAAGTTACAATTTCATGCTGGAGGTATAATTAGAAAATATTTTTATTTATCTCTGATGATTTTGATTTTATATGGCGTCCTTACCAAACTGATTTAGACTTTAGCTTAGCTATCTGTAAGTTCATAATACAAATTCCTGTGTGTCCTACTACTGTGTATTTATTTTTAATCAGCAGCCTCTTCAAATTAGTCTTCTGTGGATTGCATGGCTTTAACTGCGCCTTTATCTAGTTTATTGATTATTAACTGCAGAATTTAATGTCATTCATGTAAGAAAAAAATTTTCTTTCCTCTGAGATTAGTAAATTTCTCTACTTGATAGCATTTAACCAGAACCATATGTAGTAATCTGAATCTCCACTTTTAAATAGTTATATGATACTACAGCCTTACCTTTCAGAGATGTCTTTCTATTTGCTTCTGTAAAGTTAAATAATATGTAAACTCAACATTTTATATGCCATGCTCTACCATGTACTTGTATGAAAAAATATCAGGTTCTTATTCTATAGTTTCCTTCGTGTGAAATCCCTGTTGTTCTTGCCAGCCCCTCTGCGTTCCTATTAAAAAACTGACCACATTAGGCAGGAGAACACACCGTAGTCAGTTCTCTAGCTATGCTGGGAACTCAGTGTACTCTCCTTCGATGATTAAACTTGTCCTGACATGGACCCTGCACAGCCTTTCACTAGGAAGTTCAGTGTAATACTGTTTCTCCTTCCCAGCTCATATGCAGCTGAGAAGAGAGGGTATGTGCTCAGTAAAAAAAAAAGGGACGAAAAAGGTATTTATAATGTTTTTTATACTGTGTCCATACATAAATGTTACCTTTTCATTTCCATAAATTAAATGTTTTTTTTTTTAATAAGGTGAGGGTTTAGTCACTTTAAAGTATGGATTAAAGCTAATAATATTTTAGACTGAATGGGTTGTTTTACAAGGTGAGTGTTTACAGTAACTTTAAAGGCTAAATTGAAGCTAATAAGTGCACATATTTTTACAGAAATAAACTTAATTTATTATTTCTTGCATAGGAGCCTGGAGAGCACTGCACCTTTCATCAGTGGATCGTGGATGCAGTGTTGGGGTCCTGCAGACACGTCCTCTGACTTTCTGCCCGTAACTCCATTCTGGTTTCTGTTAGAAAGTTGGAGGACATGTCAGTGTACTATGAGGGTGCTCATCAGCGTGCAGTCCATTGAGAACTACAAGGCAGCAGCTGCGGTGGCAGATAGAATGCAACTTTCTCATTTATAAACTCCTGTGAATGAATGACTTTGTAGGTGGAGTCATTTTCAAATATGGTAGAGGATGTGGGGAGAAGAACCCCCACCTGCTGTCATGGGGGGATCTGGAAGGTTCAGGGAGAGAGGCTGGAGCATATTACACATTACACCCTAAATACAGGTGTAACATGTAACATCCTCCCAAATGTGAACTTAGCCTTTAATGTAACGGCCCCCAAAGACCCCTTAAATTTCAGGCAATTTCTTCTGAATTGATCAAACTTTGAGCTGTGGGTGGCCTTGAAAGCAGCACCCAGATTGTCAAAAGTTGATATAGGAATCAACTGTTTCTGGTGGAACATTATCTGCTGAATAATGGCTGAATTCCATCAGATTCAGGCATTGTCAAGCAGCACCTGAATACAATGGAGATTCCTCTATCCATGCTGTTTAGCATGGATGGGGGAATTGAGTGACTTCCTTTCCATCTTTCTTGGGCTTAATGGATAAAATTCATACTATTATATGGGCTGTTTAAGGCAGGTCATAGATAGTCATTTTTGTTGCTCAACCAAAAAATGACCCAATTCCCCCACACATTCAAGGTGGATGAGGGAAGTCTCCCTGCTGACCAGCTGACCAGCACTGCTAGCTATAGCCTGCAGTACTGACTAAAAGGCTGGAAGGCTGGTGGTACAGATATTGATCGATAGATGAACGTCAGTACAACCAGCCTGCCCATACGTGGATTGAAATTCAGCCAGTTCAGCAAGGCTCCTGAATACTGTATAGTGCTTATAAAAGACAAGGGTTTGTAGGAGTGATCGTGTCTGAGATCAGGCTCCATGGGCCGATTTAAAGCTGACTCTCTGCTCTGAAAAGAAAATATTACAACCAATGCCAATATACACAGCTCTCCCTAAGAGGTAAGGTTTCACTACTACAAAACCATACCTTCAGATTCTTAAAAATGCTAACTATTTACTGCTTGTGTTTAATTTTTGCTCTTACTAATTTTGAATTTTGATTTTAACAATTGAAACAGTACGTATGCCATTTAGGAAACCACCTGAGCTTTCAGTTAAACTGTGCATTTAGAATTTTTAAATTGATTTTGAATGCTACTAGGACTTCAGCATTGTCCATGTTAAGAACTTTCAAATACTATCCTGTATTGCTGGGGTTATTAGCTTCATTGGGACATGAGAGTCAAGCAGACTGTATAGAAGAGTTAGTAAACATTCCTTGATTTCTTCCGGGGCATATATTGCCTTTGCTTAAATGAAGAAAACAAAAGACAGAAGGATAAGGTGCCTGATATGTTACTTAGCTTAGTGGCACATCTAACAACGTGTATTGTAAGCACTTAAAGTGTTTATAAACCTAAACATTTTTTATCTTAATGCATTCCTTGCATTAAGCTAAAAAAATGTTTTGCTAGCAGTGTGTTTCCTCAACTTACCCGAGTCTCCTCTCTTTCTTTATCCTTGCTTTCCCAGGCTTTGCTGAGATCAGCAGGAGCCATTGGCTCAGGCTGCTGTCAGTCAAATCTTGTAATAATAGAGCAGGGAGGCAGGGCTGAGCCACGCTGTCTGTGTCCGTGGGCAGCCTACAGGAGTGCCAAGATAGGAAATGGCTTCCTATCATGGCACACCAAAAAGTGAAGGAGCCAGAAGCACTGGCAGGGAACCTGAGAAGAGGAGGATCGGGGCTACACTGTGCAATGACATAAATAAGTATAAACCTGTTTGTTTGCTTGTTTGCTTTTTAATTTAAAAAATAAAATGTACAATCATGTTAATCTATTCACTGTGCTTGTGCTTGTGCTTTCTGTGTTTTCACACATTTTTGCTTCAACTTGAGATGTTTACAAAAATGTACTGCAATTGTTCAAACACACTGACACAATTGCAATATAATGTATGTATATATATATATATATATATATATATATTATATTACCCTGTTCAAAATAATTAAAGGAACACTTTTTAATCAGAGTATAGCATCAAGTTAAACTCCTGGGATATTGATCTGGTCAGTTAAGTATCAGAGGAGGTTGCTAATCAGTTCAAGCTGTTTTGGTATTACTAAAATTACAACAGGTGCACTAGATGGGCAACAATGAGACAACCCCCAAAACAGGAATGGTTTTACAGGTGGAGGCCACTGAAATGTTTTTCCATACTCATCTTTTCTGACTGTTTTCACTAGTTTTGCATTTGGCTTGGGTCAGTGTCACATGGACCCTACAGAGGCTGCACATCAATACATGCCATTGCCAGAAGGTTTGCTGTGTCTCCCAGAACAGTCTCAAGAGTATGGAAGAGATTCCAGGAGACAGGCAGTTACTCTAGGAGAGCTGGAAAGGGCCATAGAAGGTACTTAGCTCATCAGCAGGACCTGTATCTGCTCCTTTGTGCAAGGAGGAACAGGATGAGCACTGCCAGAGCCCTACAAAATGGCCTCCAGCAGGCATGTATAGATATCCAGCATGATATTTTTTCCCATTGAGATCTGATGTGTTTTCAAAGTGTTCCTTTAATTGTTTTGAGCAGGGTATACATGTGTATATATCTATATATCTATATATATATATATATATATATATATATATATATATATTTTACAGTGTAAAGTATTCTTGCCTACTGCAGGAAAATAGTAGAATTATTGAATGGTAGCAATGTAATTGTAGAATTAAGCAGCACACATAGAAAATTATTCATGCCGACATATAGTCATGGTTGTGCTTAGAGCTTGAAATTAGTTTTCCAATCATTTTAATGGATTATTATCAAGACATTAATCACACATGTTCATAGTCTGCACCCTCCACCTAATACTATTTCTTTATCACCTAGGTGCAAAGTACATCATGGATGCCTCACCCGCCATATGTTATGCAACCAACGGTAAGTATTAGTCAATCACAGACATTTAATTAATATACATGTGGGGTCTGGTGATTAATGATGCTCTGTGTTCCCTTTTTCTGGAGGTAATTTCAATTATCACATTTCCATATGGTAACATAAATTGTTATATTACAACCCATAATGTTATGATTAAATGTTAATTTTGGCATCCCTTAAGGTTTTATGCAGGTAGAATAATGCAGAGACCCACGTTTCTTTCGCTGATTTTAATTAGCATAGTAATATAGTTCAGTCTTTGAAAGTTTTTGTACATTAACAATATGTGAAGGACAAGATTCTAAATAAATCTAGTAACATAGTGATTCAAAAGTATGCTTTTATTGGCCAGATTTGTTGTAAAATTATTACAATCTCTTAAATTAACATTATTTGGAAATACAGTTTGTTTGTTTTTTTCTAAGTCATTCGCTCAGTTCCTAAGTATTAAAAAAGAGACTGAACTCTGTGAATTAGTGCCCAAAACAAGGCAGCTGAACTTTCTCGAGTTACCATGCCTTGTACTGTGTCTTTAAGTGGAGATAGGTCTTTAGCTTCCCAGTGTCAAAGCCTCCAGCAAGGATGCTAGTGGGCAGCACAGTAGTCGCATCACCAAACCTCACTCCAAATCCCATGAGACTAGCAGTCAGAGGCAGCAGTGCCTAAGATTTCATACTGCTGATTTACAGCTATTTGGCTGTAGGTACAGGTGTGCATAGACACACTCACATATTAGGAATGTATTTCTTTATTCCAGACAAAAGGTAAATATTGCAGATAATGTCTTACTCTCAATTAACTAAAATGGGATGGAAATACATCACAAATTTGTGACCTTAGATGGTCCAATAGGTATAGCAAATGTATGTGTATGATGTTTGTAGCCAGTTAAATCCTGAGCAGGGGCGGACTGACCATTTGGAAATTCAGGGCCCTGCCCGAGGGCCCGGGGTCAGTAGGGGGCCCCATGAGATGCCCCTGATACCTTTTTCATAGGCTTTTTTGAGTTTGGGCAAGGACACAGGGGCCCCATGATCCCCTATTGCCCAGGGGCCCCATGAGTTGTCAGTCCGCCCCTGATCCTGAGACTTGCGGTTTGTGGGGAAAATAATTAATATCAAGGAATTTCAAAGAAATACATTTCAAAAAATAACATTTCAACAAGATATACTTAATGCAGAGTCTTGATGTTATCGTATGCAACAGACAACAACTCCAGTCATGGAGATTAAAGAGTCAAAGCTGTGTATAGCTTAATAGAATACAGCTACTCCCCTGCAAAAATAGTCCTCTGGGAAGGTATAATACATCGATGTCTCCTGCTCAAAAGCACCTGGAACAAATCCCAAAATTACCACATAGCCTTTGATAGGTAAATGGTCAGTAGGGATGTCCTAAGGTGTGTTCATATCCTAGTCCGAGCTCTTAATCCTGCCATGAACCTGTCAACTGTAGTGTGTGAATCCTAAGAGATTGAGGACAATCTCTCTTTCAGCTGCACATATATAAGGGACGCTGTGGGACAAGGAATGCCTCAGATGCTTATGATTGTCCAAGTACATTGATCGCTTCCTGGCACGATCGCTCAGATGGGTTCGAGCTAGGACCTGATGGTCAAATCCCTAATGGTCACCAATGATGATTACATGCAGATATAGATTGTTAGCTGCCTGAATGGCCAAATATATCTCTGAAAGGTATATTCCTGATAAGAGACAAAGGTTGAGTATAAAAACGTCTTAAAAGAACAGTTACTATATATGATGATGAATGCAAAACCTGTGGCTGTTAGCTTTATATGAGACATACTTTGTCATTATATAAAACACCTGATGCAAAGTTCAAAGTCAGTAAGATTTACAGCCACTGTATGTTGTGCACAAAATCAGAGAAGAGATCTGAATCAGTATCCGCATAAAAGGTTACAGCTGTGTACTAAGCATGACTGTTTGTCATGTTTGTAATTTCTATGGCTACCACAGACAATGTTCAAAAAATGAAGCTCAATCAGTATTCAATGGATTTGCATCAATAGGTGCACATGCACAGCTAGCTTTAACATATGAACAAGTGGGTACAAGGTTCAATCTCACAGCAAGTTCAGTTCACAACTATTTCTGGCCAAATGCCTTTTTTATATAAGTATCACAGTCAGAGACCAAAACACAGGAACCAAGTACATGGAGATGGTCTTAGTCAGCACCAGGGGCGGACTGACCATTTGGAAACTCGGGCACTGTCCGAGGGCCCGGGGTCTGTAGGGGGCCCATTGAGATACCCCTGGTACCTTTTTCATAGGCTTTTTTGAGTTTGGGCAAGGACACAGGGGCCCCATGATCCCCTATTGCCCGGGGGCCCCATGAGTTGTCAGTCCGCCCCTGGTCAGCATGCAGGTATGACAGAAAGTACCATAAATCTCTGGGAGACACTAGAGTAGCAGGTGTCAGGAGTGGTGGGATAATGCTAGTGACTAAGTATCCATGCCATATGCCCTGGCATGTTTTGACTATAAGATGGCTTCATTAGAGGGCATGGCAGAAATGGTTATAATATATAATGTATACATTAATACATGTCAAGGGATTCACAAAATAGTAGAGGCTGTCTGCCTTGAGGTGTTGATTTGCCTGAAAACTTCAGGAAGATTTGTTTGATGTAGAATAAGTCACTTGTGTCTAAAATTTCAAACAGCAGAATATTAGACCTGGAAATAAAACTATTATGGTGAAAGAGTAGTTCATACGTGTTCTATATTTAAATGTTCCATTATCTGACACCAAATTGTCCCTTTTAAATGTGATAATTAGATGTTTTAACATTATAACTAATTTATTCTGAAGAAGTCTGAATTTGTTACATTGATTATGTTTTCCGTGGGTGGTTGAGTTTGAATATTGCTGTACTCTTCTAGTGGCGGGTGGCCTGTAATGTTTCACTTAAGTGAGCAACACTTTCTGCCTCCTCTTACATTTTTTCTCAAAGTAAGTAAATGGCTGTGTCAAGCATCTTCCTGCTGTTCAATAGATGACTGCTAACTCCATGGGTTTGATTAATGGAGAAGGTAATGATATGCAAATCTTCAACAATATTATGGTATGCCTACATGAATTTTAATTAGTTCTAAAACTTGTAGTAGCTCTGTAAATACTGAAATAAAGCAGCAAAGATATATAAAATATATGGCTGTAGATGAAATTAAGTGTTGCTCAAAAAAACATGCTGCCATTAAAGGCTTACTGTGAATCATTTAAAGTCATCAGCCCCTATGGATCTGTTTTTCATCTAGTGATTATATATAATGCACATTTGAAATTTTTAAGCACATAGACGTTATTGTTTTTTTCAAATACAGTAATTACTAACCACTGGGTATTTACTAAGGGGAGTTACTGGGGAGGGGGGGGGTGGCATTGCACATTATGTTACTACCACCTGTGGTCCCTTACAAATATTTATTCTAGTGGATGGGACAGAAGAAGTGACACACACCTGTCAATATGATGAAGGCCATAAGATCACTGCAATATGGCAGCTGCTCACTTGTGAACCATTTCCCTCCATCTTCAACTCTTAAAATCTTTGAGTTGTCAATGAAGCCTTTGTCCCCCCCACTTAACTATAAGGAAGGGGAAATTGAATGCCCACCACTTCTCTGTCTGAGTCCATCTAGCCAAGTGGACAGGGAAGACAGGAACAAACTCTTAAAAAGGCACAGTGTATGATCAAGACCAATCAAGCAAGGCAAAGTGAATGGGATTAAACTAGATTTTAAGGCTTTCCCACTTGACAGTTACAGATCCCCTTCCTGGACTCTAGTTGCCTCTGCTCTCTCAGTCCACTGCCAACCTGCTTAGCTATCCCAACTCTCCCAGTCCTGAAGGTAAGAGAATCTCTCCAACATGAAGTCTTGTCTTCCCAGAAGGTCACCTTTCCTGGCTGGAGTTTGAAATGTTTTGGAATGGCAGCAACTGCATCCGCAGTAGCTCTGATCAGGCTTATATTGACCCTGCACACTTGTGTTCTTAACCAGGCTGCAGGCTTCTAGCAAAGCCCAGACACAGGATTGAAGGTCCTGCCCAAGACACTTTGGAATCTTCAAGCTTCAGACCCTGATCCAGGACTACCAAACCTAGAGAAAACTTAAAACATAGCTTTCTCCACTTACCATTCACATGCTGAAGCTTCTCAAACTGCATCATCTCTATACTGATTTATTAAACTCATACCTTGGCGGGGTTTAGCACAGTCACAGCTGCCATTTTGTATTGGATTTTATGGAAGGAATGGCATCAGAGAAAAATGAGTCATATGGGTCAAAATACTGTATATATGTTCTGTATATTACGCTTCTCTCTCTCTAAAGGAGAACCCATCAGGTTTTGTAAAAAATATATATCTATATATATTGCTGCTGTAAATTGTTACATGTAACAAATATATTCATGCATACTTGTAAAGATGTGGAAGGGTCCACTTCAGTTAAATTTGAGCTAGTTATAAAACTTTTCATGCACCTTATAATCTCTTCTTAATTGATTTCTTTTGACACATTATGTCCTATTTGGTTATGTAGTATTTAACGTCAGCTTAGTACATTGTACAATCAGCTTTACTCCTGACGGGAAGTTGCCTGTACTGTTGCCAGAACAAACTACCACTATCTGTATGTAGCTAATGCTAAGACAGTGCATTATGGAACACACAACAGCCACATTGTTTAGTAATGGAAATAGTTAATTTGGATGAACTTGGTACAAACTTTTAAAGTGCATTGAAACTTGGAACTCTACTCTATGAATTTATGTCTGAAACTCATCTTACTTGGATGGAAATTAGATTTAGTTTTGCCTAACTTACATGTCTAGACCAATATTCTGACAAGCTGACCTCCTACGTGCTCCATGCTTTTGAGTTACCATTAGTTTTGCTTTGAATTTTTAAGCTTTGTTGCCAGTGGTCATATCTATGGGCTCTGAAACAGTATAGGGTCAATATGTCAGTGTTTCAGAAGTTGTAGACTTTACAGCAATCAGTTCTATAAATACTATATATTAATTAGGTTGAGACAAGAAGGAACATGGATGAATAAAAGGAAAATTCAGGCAATGGCTTCACGAATGGTACTTAGGATGTACACATATATATATAGTAGAACATGCTTTTCACCCTATGCGTACTGCTGCTTGAAGTATATTATTTATGATGTAGATAAGTAATAGCCAAATGGTAATGTAGTCTGGATAGTTTTTGTTTCAGTTTTCCTGTTAGAAAAGCAAAAATGTCCGTCACTGATGTACTGAAACACAGTAAAGTGAAAACTTTACTATTAAATAACCTGCTAGAATGAAGCTTTTACAATATTGCTCAAACTCATTGCAAGTTTCACAGCTGCAGATAAAGGGAAGTTGGCATTAGTCTATGTTTCTGGTCATAAATACTGATATCATATGTGATTGCAAGCCTTGTATGCGTTTGTGCAACAAAGGTTAGGTTTTGAGATACATTTCAAGCCCTTGTCCAACATAGTTGTGTTTGTTCAGAATACCAAATTGGAGTGTGTTGTTTATAACTAATATGTTAAGGATTCTGTTAAATATTACTGTATTTACTAGAGTTTGACAAAACCGTGTGCCAGACCTAATTATGTCATCTGCTTCTCACATTTTGACACAGCTTGCATCTAGCTCAAACTGCTGAAGCACTTTTCACAGGTCTCATGACATAAACTTATGTGCCAGTTAGGAAGAAACTTGTTCACTTACAGAAGAGATGCCAGATGTTACTTTGGAAGCAACTAGCATTAATATAGTTCTCTTAGTTCAGCCTTAAAACTTATGACGAGTAGAAATATGCCAAAAATAAAGTGTATTTACATGGATTATGAATAAATAATCTGTAAATTTATAATCTATGTGTTGTGCTATTTGCACTGATCTTTAATGGTTACAAATGATGCAGTTCCCAAGCAGCTGCATTACCAATTTCCTAGGTGCACTTACAGTAAAGTCCCAGGAACATTAACTTTCAGATATGTTTCTTTGATTAGGATGATGGGAAATGGGTGCCAATCCATTTAAAAACAGAAAGAAGTTTATTGCACATGGCAATTAGAGAAAGAGGATGAGGCAAGGATCATGATTTCCCAAACGTTTACTGTATTTCATACTTTAGACTAGGCTTCAATCTCTTCTAGATATTTAAAAGTAGCAGCTTTGCATTTCTAAAGCTGTTTTCTCCAGCAGCCAACACCTTCAGGGATTCCTCCCAGGAGGAGAGATCCCTGCATCTTAAAATGTAAATCAAAACTGACTGCGATCATCCTCTCTACCCAATGCACAAGTGAGGGAAGCCAGTGCTCAGACTAGTGCCTCTGTTGTTGGCCATCAAATAGTCAGCAACACAGCTAGATCCAAATGTATAAAATTATTTATTGGAACATCAGATTAAAATCCAACAATACAGATAGCTGACATGTTTCAGCCACACTGGCCTTAGTTAAAGCTGCCTGTTGATAACAAATATACACATTATATACTTTCAACTCATCACAGTGAGTTCCTGTCTCAAGTCTGCTGGGTACTCTGACAAGCCTTGCATCTGGAAACTGCAGCCCATGTGGAATGCCCCTTTAACTTTGACTGGATCTCCATGCACAGTTCCTGACCTGATGTGCTACCAGCCTGCCTGGGACTGCATCTCCTGTTGCAAGCACTCCTACCAACACTTGCTGGCACTCGTGTTCCTCCTGTCCCTCCATGTCATATTAACAGTAGGTCATCACTGAAAAAAAGCATACCAAAATATGTTCTCTTTGTGTTTGGAAAAAATGTATATCTTCTTCCAACAACCCTTAAGGGAGATTAAAAATGGCATCCCCTTAGAGGTTCCACACCTTTGCAAATAAAAAGCTCCATCAAAAAGAAGAAAAGTTTTCTTTCAAAAGAAATTTTACAGATAATAGTAAAAATTCACTTATGTATGAACTATCAATTCATTCAGATGTGATGTTGTGGAATACAATGATTTTACATCTAAGGTTAGCCATGTAAAACCACTTTTCCACTTAGTGTCCAAAATATGGGTTAACACCATAATGGTACCTTGAATATAGCTTGGCAACCTCATCACCAAAGGTTGCAGGTGCATATCACCAAGATGTGAACTGATCTTCACTGGCACTGAATAGCATTTTCTGGCTTGTGGATCTTAGGAGGTGATGGAACACACTAGCAACAGGGCATTCCACAAATTCAGCTGCTCTTTTATCTATAACCTCCATCTCCTTCCCAAGTCCAAGAATTCATCAGAACATTTGAATACATTAGTGGGATCCACTTTGAGTATTTTATAAGTGGAGATAT